TGTCCCCCAAACACCCCCGCGCGCCACCCTCGCCCGGGCTCCCGCGGCTTCCCTGCGGGACACAGCCCCCGCCGCTGCGCCGGGGACACGTCGGCCGCGGGAGCCCCCTCCCCGCGGCTGGTGCAGTGCCCGGGACACGGCGTTTTCCCGCAGAGGCGGCCGCGTCACAGCAGTGACTCCCCCTTCCCTCCCTCTCGCGACCTGCGGGCTCTCCGAGCCCGGGGAAGGAGCGGGCGCCGCATAGTCCCGGGTCCCTGGGAGCGCTGACGGGCCTGGAGACCCCTTTCTGGGCTCCCGGATTAGTTCCAGCCCGGCACCTGCCCTGTCGCGACACTGATTGAAATTCAGGATGGTCTCTGTCCCTGATCCTGGCAGAGCAGAGGAGTGCTGGGAGCGGTTTTGCTCCCAAAAGGGGCTCAGGAGTCCACGACCACGTCGGTGCTGGTGCCGGGGACGGTCCCCTGGGTGGGGATAGGGAAGGACTGTCCCAGAAGGCCTCCCTGACATCTGCTGCTGGGGTCTCTGTCCCTCCGGTCCTGGAAGCCACCGGCGGTGCTGGGAAGCCCGGGAGCTGGAGTTTCTTAAGCTTCTCCCTCTGGGGGTTAACCGGCAGATAGAGGTGAAAAATGGGCAGACATCCTGCCCGGCCCCATCCCTCCCTCGGGGTGTAGAGATGGAAGTGAAGCCAGCCACCGCCCCCCTCCCTTCCGCCTCCGTCCCCGTCCCCAACCTGCACAGCTAAAGCCGGAAGGTCTGAGCGGGGCTGGGGGGGAGTTTAAGATCTTCTCTCTTTGGCTTCTGTGGTTAAACCGATCACTTCCTTCTGGCCCTAAACCCTGGGTAGAATCTCATGTACTCACCACTTAGCCTTACAGATGGGAAAAGAATGGGTGGATTTCAGTGCCTTTGGGACTCCCACCCCCTGAAAACAAACAAACGAACAAAAAACTGCAGCCAAAATGTTAGCGTTTATGCAGGGGTGTTCTCCTCATAGGGTGTCTGGGCCCTGGCAGTTTGGGTCCCCCTGCAGCAGGGTCTGATGGAATTGCACGTGGGCATGCATTCCCAGGCCTGGGAGTAGAAGTGGACATAAGCTTTCAGCAGCAGAAGTTATTGGAGGCGCTTGGACGCCTTTATTTGGTAATTGTTGAGAATTACCCTTGTTCTGCTCGTCCCTCAGCCTGACTGTCCCCAAACCAGGGACAGACACCTTACCTGACCTCCCTACTGTGAGTTCCCTCCCTTTGCTCAGTGTAGACTCATTTGGGGAGCTCTTTACAGGTTTTTCCTGGTCTCGTTTGGCCAGTTGCTAAGCCTGGTGATGACTCCTGGGCAGCAGTTGGGAGGCTATGTCAGAAGCATCTGGGGGCTTCAGAGGCCTTAGTGACAAGTATGTCTTTCTTTCTCTCCTCTTCCTCCTCTCCTGCATGGCCTCCCTCTCTACCAGCACTGGAAAGTCCTGTTTGATCAGGTATGTGAGCAGTTAACACCCCCCCACCCACCCCCACCCA